CGGCTTCTCCTCCTGGGACCACAGTCCCGCCCTCAGCACCAAAGCTGGGGCCAGGCCCTCATGCCCAGGCAGTGGGCCATGGGAGTCCGACAAGAACCAGCAGGACTGAGGGCTGCTGGGTGTGGGCCCTGGGCAAGAGTGGGAAGGCTGGACTCCAGGGGCCATTGGCTATAGACCCAACCAGTTCTTTGGGCCCCTGCCTCCCTAGGGCCCTCTCATTCTCCAACCCTCTATGGCTCCCTACTGCCCAGAGTGACACCGTCCTCACCTTACCAGCTTCACTTCTATCTCCCAGCTTTCCCGGTCTTGGCACGGGTCGCACCCACCGATGGGAGCACCTTTCTCACACCCTGAAGACTCCTTTCACCTGGCAGTTCACTTGGACCCTCCAGCTCTTCTCGCATTCATTCATTCATTCATTCATTCATTCGACAAATGCTACTGACTACCCACTTGGTGCCAGGCCCTATTATAGGCGGAGGTGACAAAGACAGAGCTGTTCCCTGCCCTGATGGGGGAGACAGACCAGAAACAAGAAGGCAGACAAATAAGAACCACAGAGTGTGACACGAGGGAAGGGGAGATTTCAGTGTCAGAGGCAGGACAGGCCTCACTGAGTTAGGGGACATTACAACTGAGACCTGAAGGAGGAGAAGGAACCAGGCAGGAGCAAACAGCCAGAGGAAGGGGATGCCAGGTAGAGGGAATGGCAAATGCAAAGGCCCAGCCAGGGGAGGAAGGGGCAAGTGGATGAGAGAAACAGCGACGAAGCCAGGGTGCTGGGCACAGAGTGAGCGAGGGGTGGGAGGTAGAGGAAGGTGATGCGGGCCAAGTCTCGAGGGGCCACAGAGGTCTGGGCTTCTATCACAAGCACAGTGGCCGCCACTGGAGGGTTTTAGCGGGGAGAAGCTGATCTGACTGAGGTTGTAGAAGACCACTCTGGAAGCTCCGCCTTCTTCTCTCCCAGGGGGTCGTCCCTGAGGCTTCACACCATCTCCTCAGGGCTCGCATGGCCTCTTCACTCCACGTGATCCTCCCTGGCTCCCCACCAGATTCTGAGCTCTGTGGGCATCTGTCTGGCTCGCTGCTGAATCCCCAGTGTCTAGCATAGAGTCTATTTCACAGTAGGTCGAATGAATGGATAGACCAAGCACATCTCAGTGCAGAGCAGGACCCAGGAGCTGGGACCTGAATGTGCCCAGTGCCAGCCCTTGAGTCCGCATTAGATCAGGTCGAAGTCAGAGGCAGGGATGGGGGCTGGTAGGGCTTCTCGGAGGAGGAGAGGGGGTGAAAACTGAATATGGAAGAGAGTGAAGAGAAGGGAACTCACTTGAGTTGAGAAGCTACTGGCCCTGCAGCTCTGGACAAGCAAAAGGGGAGGCCACCCCCCTCCATGCCTTCTGGAGATGGTGGTTTCCCCGTCTTAGGACCCTCCATTGGGTGGGACATCCACTGGATGTCTTGGCCTCACGGACCCTGGGCTCAGACCACTCTAATCTTCCATGTCCGTGACCTTACCCCAGACCCCATCTCCTCCTGCTCAGGTCTGAACCATGATGCTCTGATGTCCCCGGCCTGTCCTTAGCCCCCTGGCCCTTGAAGCTTGTCCTCTTTCCTGTAGGTGTGGTACCTGTCTTCCTCCTCCCTAGTTCCCCAGGGCTTTTCATTACCTTTTCCCTTGGCCTTAAGTTGAGGTCGCTTCCACGATAAAGTGAAGTTCGCAGGAATCCTCAGCAAATACTCATCTCACATCCCCCCAACCCCCAACCCCTCTCTCCCCTGCTTCTCTGCACATGCCTGGCTTCATTCTTCCCCTTCTCCACTCCACTCCGTGCCCCCAGAGGCTGACCTCTACAGACTGCATCAATGGACAGCCTTGTCCTCTGGCGTCCAGGTGGGTTTGGCCAATAGGAGGCACTGGCAGAAGATGAAGCCAAAGGAGAGAATGGGATATTAATCCTCCTGCATCCCTTCCCATAGGGTCACCTCAGGCTGGTTGTATCCCTTGACCAAAGGCCCTGTGCACATAAATCTGTCCCTGGGTTCTAACATTCTTCTTTCCCCTTGTCTGGTCAGGGGGACCAGGAGAGGGTAATGGCTATCCATGGGTGCTCACCCGTTTGGTTTTCCCAAACCCTGCTCACTGTATACGGTTCCTGCAGCAAACCTGCCTCAAATTACTCCACTTGAATGCGCCACTTACTTCCCCCGAGGGCCCCAGCTGGGGTCCCCACGCTTCCCTCCTCACTCCTGCTTCCGGGTGCTCAGAACATCCAAGTCCTGCGTCCTCAGGCCCCACTCTCAGATTCCCTCCCTCAGGATGTGTGTGGCTCAGTCCTCGCAATCTGTCAGCAGCCTGTGACACCATGGGCTGCGCCCCCGCTCCTTGACACCACCACCACCGCTGCTGGGGCACCACGCTTGCCTGCTTCCCCTCCTAACTCTGGGGTTTCTCTGCTCGGCCTGTCCCTTAGATGTTGGGGCCCCAAGGGCTGGTCTCCCGTCTTTTTGTCTGCTCTGTTCTGGGGCGACTTTATCCTCTCCCAGCGTCGGCATCCCTCTGCTGACATCCCCCACAGACACGGTTGCTTGGCCATCTTTGTCTTTAATCCATAGATGTGTCTAGGTCCTTGCCCCAGGGATTCAGGCCCCTTCGACTGAACATGACTCAAACCTGCTTCTGGCCTTCCCTTCATATCCGCTCCTCACCCAGAGCCTGGATTTGGGCCTCATCCCTTATTGCCTGAAACATGCCCATCCTCCTTCCAGGCCTCCTGACCCTCAGTCTTCCCCCTCTGGTCCTTCCCGCTCACCAGCCCCCAAGTAAGATTCCAAACACACAGATCTGTCCGGAACCCTCCCCTGCTGGCCCCCATCCTGCTGGGAATCAAGCTCCCCGCCTGATGTTTGAAGTCCTTTGCAATCCCACGTCCTCCCATCCCAAAATTTCCCCCCAGTCTCGAGGAACACAATCAGCTATGCTTGGAGGCTTGTGTGGGTTGGAGCACATCCTTGTAGGGTTTAGCTCCAAGGCTGCCTCCTCCAGGGAGCCTTCCCTCCCACTCCTCAATGCCCTGTTCCTTATTCCCCTTGAGCCGGGCTCCGTCTCCCCCGCCCCTCTTGGTGCTCGGCCAAAGGCTTAGAGCTGGTAGTAGGGACAGATGAACGAGTGAATGACTGACTGACTGGAATGAATGAATGAATGAATGAATGGTGCAAGGTGATCCGGAGGCAGGAGCTCAGAGCAGGGAGAGGGAGTTGCCGGGACTGGGAGGGGCCTCAGCCGGGGCCACCCCCCACTCCGAGCCCTCCAGGTCCCATCTCCCGCTCAAAGGGTTGCGCGCGCCGAGCCCCTCGGCCGGGAAAAAGGCGCGCCCGGATTGGCTCAGGCTGGGAGAGGCGGGCTTCGGCCGAGCCACGAGTCTCTATTGGCGCACTAGCCAGGACTCTGTCCAATCACCGCGATTAACTACTCCCCCCACCCCCACCCCCACCCCCAGTCTCTGACTCCCTCCCGCCTGCGGCAGAGGAGGCGGAAGACGGCGCCTTCTAGTTGCCCTGGCAACCGTCAGCGGACTCGTCGCCCCGGCAACTGTCCGAGGCCTCCCGTCAGCCTTCCCTGGGCCCCTTCAATCACCCAGACAACCGCTACCCGTTCCGGTCAACCAACAGACCTTTCCCCGTCACCCTGGCAACCGTCGCCAGACCCACCGCCCCCTGGACACACCGCCCTCATCCTGCCCTCAGGACTCCTCAACCCAGGCTCCGAGATGGCGGGGTCCCCTTCCCCTCCGGCCCATCTCCTCGACCCTAGGGGGACACTGCTCCTACCCTGGCAGGGATAGGGGGGGCTTCCCGGGGTGGGTCGGGCGCTGGGGGTCCCGGCTCCGGTCGGGCCTAACGGGCGGCCCCGTGCTGAGGCTGTGCATAGCCCCCTGCCTGTCTCCCCGCTCGCTCGCTCGCTCGCGTGGGACCGTCCAGCCACAACAGGGAGCTTTTCAAAATGCAAGCCATGTCCCTCCCCTGCTGAAAACCCTCCCCTGGCTCCCCTTGGGAATAGAATCCAAACTCCTCGCAGCCCCTGGCGGTCTGACTGTGTGGCCTCTTCTTCCTCGCTCTGCCCGAGCAGCCGCTAGTCCCCACATTGTTACCCCAGGAGCCTAAGCTTATTTCTGCCTCCGACCTTTCTACTCACTGCTCAGAAGTGCGTCCCCCAGCTACGGAAGCCTTTCCCGAGCTGTCATACCCTCACATAGCTCTCCATGCCTGTTCGCTGCTAACTCCGCAAGGGCCTAGATCAGTGCCTGACACACACGATGAGTTGAAGGGGACAAGAGAGGACAGAGGGGGATGACTAGCAGGCTGGCCCACCCCAGGAATAAGAGAATGTATTTCTGAGGTTGCTGGGCCCCAGAGAGATTCATCATGCAGCAGGTCATGACACTGTCCCCCAAGGCCAGGCAAAGGCTGGGGAGACAGAAGTGCTGTCACCAGCCAGGGATGGATGGTTCATCCTCTACTTGTACCACCCTCATCTGGAGGCTGGAGCCAAAGGACCCCAGAAAGAATCAGCAGAAACTGTGGTTCATCTGGAGAAATTCCAGGAGCCGGAGAGGCAGGTCTCAGACCTCAGATGATCATTCAGGGAGCTGGTCCCTTCCTGGGCCAGTCCAGAATCTCACACATCCATCCTACCAGAGCCTAGAGCTGTTTTTCCATGGATCGGGGATAGGGGTCGCAGGGATCTTTCCCAGGCCGCAGCAAGAGAATTGAGCTTAAGAGGCCTGGAGTCACGACTGGAGGGAAGATTGTGGGGGCTGCTCAGGGCCCGAACAGACAGGAGCCTAGATGCCCAGCTGCTTGCACATGAGGGTCCTCCCTTGGGGAGCTGGTCGGGAGCCAGGTGTGGATACCCCTATTCTAGGAGTACCCTTCTCAGCACTGTCCAACTGAATGCTTTATACTGCTGTGGCAATTGAGCCCTTGAAGTATGGCCAGAGTGACTGAGGAACTGAATTTTTAATTGATTTTCTTTTCATTACTTTGCACGTAAATTGAAGCAGCCCGATGTGGCTGCCAGTACCCTATCGGACACAGCAGCATTTAGCTGAAGACTCGGATTGCAGAGGAAAGCCAGGGACAGGAAGGTCAGAGTCTGTGGTTGGTGCTGCTCTGGGGTCTGACACTGGCAAGAAGAGTAAGGCCCCAGGGGAGAGATGAGGTAGGACGCTCCGAATCTAGCTCCGGAGAGCTGTACCTGGCTCTCGAGGACTGAAGTGCTTGTTCACCTGCACACACACGCACGCACCTGTGTGTGAGCCTATGGGCTGGTGCGCCTGAGGGCATCCACAGACGCCTTTGTGTGTAGCCTAGAGTTCCACGCCTGTGCAAGATCCGGGAGTCCACCCTTGTACGTACGCCGTGCGGCCTCCCAGGTGCACATAGGCCAGCAAGCGAGGGCCACTAGTCCAGCAGGTCTCGCAAGAAGGCCCACATGTACTCGTGCATCTCCCTGGGGTTGCTCTGTGGAATCCAGTGCCCCATGCCCGGCAGGATGTGGGCCTCCAGCCGGCCCGGCACAAAGCGACTGCTGATGGCTCCCACCAGCCCCTGATCGAAGTAGGTGTCCTTCGCTCCCCACAGCAGGAGTGTGGGTGTGGCCAGCTCCTGGGGCTCCAGGGGGAAGTTCCTATGGCCAAGACACAAACAGACAGAAGAATAACCGCCCCAAATCCCTACCCCCGCAAGTCTCCTGAGCTTTCTGCCCTGGGTCTGGTCTCACCTGAAGAGGTTTCGGTAATAGTTGAGGGGCCCAGTGAGACCACCAGGCTGTGAGAAGTCATAAAGGAAGGCCTCGAGCTCGTTGGGGGTTAAGTGTGGGATGCCTCTCTTGCGGTGTGTGAGGGTGGTCTTCAGGATCTGGGTACACAACAGGACTGTGGCTTCAGTGCCCATCCTGCCCAGGCCCAACCCACTACCCTCCACCTACCACCAGCCTTTGCCTCACTGTACCTGGAAGTCAGACATGGACAGTAATTTCTCAGGCAGCCAGGGAAGCTGGAACAGGAATACATAGTTGGAACGGAAGAACTGGCCGATGTGGCGTATAGAGTAGTCTGGCGGCAGGGGAAAGGCAGATGTGAGGCCTGGGCCTGGGGTGGCCCCACACCCCTGTACCCCTCCACGCACCCGGATGCGCCAACACTCAGGAATGTCATCGCTGCCTGAGCCTGTGAGGACACTCGTCACTCCTCCTGGCCTGGGTACCCTCTTCCCTCCCTGCCGAGTTGTCACTGTACCCGACAGAATGGGGGTACCTCCCTCCGCAGCTCCCAGGAGCCCCCAAGAGCCACTCGTGTGATTTCCCCTGCCCAGGCCTGGATGCGTTTCAATATTTACTGAGCACCTACTGGATGCCAGGACCTGTTTAAAACCCTGGAGACACAGCAGTAAATGGAACAGACAAAACTCCCTTGCCCCTGGGGAGCTGACAGTCTAGACAGAGAGAGACGAGAAACAACAGCAAAGAGGGAGAGAGAGAAAAAAGGCCCTATCACTGTGTCACTTCGACTATGATACTGGGAATTAGAATCAGGTGAGGTGACAGGCATCTCACGCTATTGCAGTTGCTTAGTTATCTATACCTTTCTTGCCAGAAGAAAGGCATTGAACCTCTCTTGCCTCAGTTTCCCCCAACTGGACCACGAAGATAATAACACTTTCATACGCTCGGGAGGCTTGTGTAGGTTACTGTATGCAAGCTCCTTGTCAGCGCAATGATTACCTGTAGGTGCTCAAAACATGTGAGTCACTCCTAAGTGTACTGTCATTGACTGTACACTGGGTGGGTCATGTGTGTCCCCAGCCCCTCGAGTGTTGACTGGTGGACAGGGAAGCGTAGACACAGACACAGGCTCCTTCACAGAGGCTTATCCCAGCACCCTGGACTCCCCAACACACCTTGGTACACAGACATGGGGGCAGCGCTGACAATTACCATCCGCTCGACCAGGGATGGGTAGTAGATGGAGAAATTCCAGGCGAGGAGCGCACCCCAGTCATGGGCTACCAGGATACACTTGGAATAACCTGGGCGGGGGCAGAGGAACCGGTGTAAGTGAGATGCCAGGGAGAGGCGAGGCAGGGTGAGGGAGGAGGCCAGGGGTATCCCCACCCAGGCCCAGGATGACATCCTGGATGTCCGTCATCAGCAGGTCCATGGTGTAACAGTCTACATCCTGAGGCGCGTCGGAGGAGCCGTATCCCCGTAGGTCCACAGCCACCACGTGGAAGCGGCTCTGGAACTCCCAAAGCTGGTAGCGCCAGGAGAACCTGTCAGGTGTGTGGGGAAGGAGGCTGTCAGGGTCCGCAGGCTGCACCTCCACCCTGTGCCCAGCAGGGGCCTTCCCCCGGCCCCACCTTCCTGCCCTGGGCTTCCCAGAAAGGGAGATGGGGGAACCCCAGGCTGAGGGCAAGCAAGGTCACCTGTACTCTGTATCCAAGACTTCTTTGTCCCATATCCCTTCAGGGCCTCCTCCTGTAGACAGCACCCCTGTCCTCGAGCACCCCATCTGGATGCTTTGTGACCCCAATCTACCCAGCCCACGTGCCTGCCTCCTGGATGCCCTGGTGGTCCGAGATCCACCTCCAGCTTCACCTCCAGCCTTGTGTGCCCCAGGACCCTGGGCTTCAGACCTACCAGTTCTCTGGGAAGCCGTGCAGAAACAGCATGAGGGGCCCATTGCCATGTCCGGCGGAAACATAGTGCAGGCGCAGGCCCGAGCTCTGGGGGGGGCACAGTCCGAGACCTGGGGAACCCTTCCTCGCTAGGCTTGAACACCCCAGCCACGTGCAGACCCAGATTTGGATTCAACCATTTGCTGTCTGCACACCCCCCCCCCCCCCCCCCCCCAGGGCCCCCCCCCCCCGGGGCTCCTCCCCCCCCCCCCCCCACCCACCAACACCCGACGGCCACACACCCCTCCCCCCTGCCCCGGGGCGCGCGCGCGCTCACCTTCAGGGTCAGGAAGCAGTGTTCGCCCAGAGTGGGGTCGCTCAAACAGGCCGGTGGGGTGCTCCGGGGGCGCCCGCAGCAGCCGCGCCGGGGCCGGCACAGCACGTGTGTGAACGCGATGCAGCCATAGACGGCGGCGGCCACCAGGGCGGCGGCGAACACGAGGCTCCACATGAAGGCGCGCAGCAGCTTCAGAGTGAGGCGCGACGGCGCCAGTAGCGCGGTCACCACCAGCTCGGGCATGTCGCCGCGACCCGGGACGACTTCGGCGCTGCCTTTGGGGGTGTGGGCGGGGGGCGCAAGCAGCCGCACGGAGGCGGGACCCGGGCTGGGGAGCCCACCGCCCTTGGTCTGGGGCCCCTCCGTGCCTTCGAGGCTTGAGGAACGCTCCGAGAGAAGAGGCGGGAGGCTTAGACCGAAACCGCCACTGCAGACGACTCACCTAAGTACCAGGTAAACACCTGGGCGCGACGGCGACAGCGAACAGGATGGGGCGAGGGGATGGTGCCTGTGAGGACCGGGCTTCGGTGGCTGGGGAGGAGCCTTGGGGAGAAGGGTTGCGAATTGCGGGCGGGGCCTAGGCAGGCTCGGGCGGGGCTTAATAAGGGGCGGGGTCTAGTAGGACTCCCGCCCGCGGTGGGTAGGGATCTGAAGCGTAGGGGGAGATTGATATATGTGTACTAACGTGGGGGCCGGAGGGGTACCTGAGTGAAATGGGCGGAGCCTGAAGCGAAGGGGCGGAGCAATGCAGGGTAGGTGCGGCCTACGAGCCAGAAACTTAGACCCAACTTGGCCTAGAGGCGTTGGAGGACTGGGGCGTGGCTTAAAGGGTGGACGGGGAGAGGGTGGAGCCCAGATGGGGCGGGGCCTGAAGTTGGGCGGGAGAAGGTCCTAAGGCTGGCCCGGAGGGTTTGGGTGCGAGGGCTGGGCCAATAAGCTGGGGGTCGGCCTGGGTCCGGGCCAATGAGACGGGGGGCGGGGCCGGAACCTAATATGGCGGGGAGTGCGGGCCCGGAAGCGGAAGGAGGGGGACAGGTAGTGCTTTGGCTGGGATTAGGAGGGAGTCGCGGGCGGTCGCCGCAAGCCGAGGAGGCCTGGGGGGGGGGGGCCCTGCTGCCGCCCTCTGAGAGCTCCCCTTCCTGGAGCGCGCGACCCTGTCCTTGGCCTGGCTGGGAGAGACCTAGCAGCACCCTCACCCAGGCCTGGTTCTAACGGCGGGTCCAGTTGGCCTCGACCCCGCGCCGGCCTCGTTAGTCCAGCGGGCCCGTCGTCGGCCCGCCCCTACACGGCTGTGATTGGAGGGCGGTGGTTATTTACGTGCGGGCGACAGGTCTCGCCCGGCAGCCAATCGGCAAGTGTTGAGGCCCGGGGCTCCGCCGGTGCCGACCAATGAAGACCGGGAGACTCTTGGACTTCTAGAAGGCAAGCCCAGCCCGGGAGCTGGAGGACCGGGCCGGTTGAGCCACTGGAACTCTGTCTGAAAGAGGAAGTGGGGCAAGGTCGGGCGAGAGGCCCGACCCGGCCAGCTTCCTCCTCCTGTTTTGCAACCTTCCCCCAAGATCCTGAACATTTCAGGGTCACTCATCGTTTAACCCGTGTAACACCCCCATTAAGTGTAGGTACTATCATCACATCCCTGTATTACAGACCACGAACCTGAAATTCGGGGATTAAGTCACTTGCCTAGAGCTACACAGCTTGCTGAACAGGACTTACAGAAAAAAGCAACAATCTCGGGCTCCACCTCTCCTTCCGCCCGGAGGCAGCCATCGGAATGCTTTTAGCTTTCTTCTGGTGGTTATCCAGGTATCTCGCAACGCGCTCGTGTGGCTATTTCCTGATGACCAATTTGGGGCATTAAGTATTGCATCGACTCTGTCATCATCATTGGACAGGCCCTACCCGTTTTTGGTGTTCCTATTGGTTTAAGTACTCCATTGTTTTCGTCACCTCCCATTGCTAATCTCATCTTTGTCTTGTTCCGGCTGCTAAACATTACACTGTCCTGGGACCATAATTAAGTCTGTGGGTTCCTAGTAAAGGGGAATGGTGGTTTATGTGGTTCCGCCTCAGTAAACAATGTATATCTCAGCGTCGCGTAGACGGCTATGATTACACGACCAGCATTGTACTAAGGTTTGTTCTGCCTGTACTTAATACCTTTCTTTTCTTGCACGATTAGCCTGTATCATAGCTTTGGTTTCGTTTACACTTTCCATCAAATCAGTTTTCCAACCACTGGATGATCGCGGTATGCCTCCCAAGTCCTCTAACCTGGCCGCATGGCTAGTGAGTGTCTGGGGATCTCCCTTGTTCCTCTGCTGCACAAAACTCACTCTCACCATCCCCCTACCCCCAGCTCTACCCTCAAACAAAAAGACAGCGGCAGTCACAGGATGGTAATTTTATATTCAGTACAAATGTTTATTTTTGCAATGAGAACTGCACAAAAAAAAAAAAAACTTTAGTATATAAGTGAAAAGTCTACGAATTCCCTTCTACAAATGTCTAAAGTGTTTAATACAAGTCTCAGATTCACTGACATAATTATTGGCCAAGCGATCCGTGCATACAGTACAGTGGGGGCTTGTACACACCTCTTACTCTTGTATAGGACTAAGATTTCTAGTACTGTGGGAGGGAGTGGGAAATGGCCAAAGAAATTAAATAGTAGATCCAAGTTCTAATTACAACCCAGTTAGAGAAACACCCATCAGGAAGGTGTGGAGAGGGCCACGGCAGAGTTAAATCTTTAGAAGGTGCAGACAAAAACCATTTCTCCAGCTAAACAGTCGGACCTGGCCTGGGGAAGTTACCAAACAAAACAGGGAACAGAAATGAGGGGGTGGGATGAGATGGAAGAAACCCCAAAGAACCAAAATGTAAGTCCCACTTGAACCACAGTGGCACATGAGGAAGTGCCTGCTGGGGCATGGGGGCAGGGGCAGGGAGGCAACTGGGGACCTCTGGCTGGATGCCTGAACTACACCCTTGCCAGGTCTCCCAGATCCCAAACACAAGATGATACTAGGGCTTTTCTGGTTGAAAAACAAAGGGGGATAAGGGTTAAGAAACAGTGCTAGAAATGTTTCAGTTTGTGTCTGGGCACACATAAATGATACACTTTCATCTTACATCCTAGGGACCACTCTTGAGTGCTGCCCTTACCTTGTGGCACGCTGGTGGGCACACGGGCAGCCACATGGCGGGCTCTCTTGGAAGGGAATGTGTGGGTGCGTGTCTACATGCGTGGGAGGTGAGGATCCTGGTTGGTGGGGGGGGGTGTACACTTATCTAAGAACATCTGGTTAACCCTGAGCTTAAATGAAAGGAGTAGTTAAGGTAGAGGCAGGCGAGGCGGGAGAAGCGGCCCAAGTCCTCTGGTGAGTGCGGGACCAGGATGGAGGAGGGCAAGGGGGAAGAATACTGTCTGGAGTTTGGCCAGGTTCTGCTGCAGCATGTCACCCACCTAGGAGGCCAGGGTCCACAGGAAGAATGGGTACCTGGGCTCCCTGTCACAGCTTCAGCTTGGTCATGGAAGATGGGCAAGGTGGCCCCTGATGGTAGTTCTTGTACAAAGGTGGTTGGGGATCCCGGGGGGCCCCCTGGGCCTAGCCTAGGCAACAGGTGGTTCACAAAGAAATGTCAGGAAGACGCCAGCATTAAAAAAGAGAGATGTGTTTATTCCATGATCAGTACAGACCAAATGCATATTCACCGTATGAAAGTCAAACCAGTCAGTGACTCCAGAGTTTGGCCAACACTGAGGCACCAGCGTCGTGGTGTAGAGTGGGTTCTCATGGCACACGTAACCTCACCAAGGGCTCCAATTATAAAATTAAAAAAAAAAGGGGGGGTGGGGGAAGGGGCAGCCGGCTCGTCAGGCTGGGTGGGGAGCCTCTACCTCAGGAGTCTGTGCCCCCCCCCAGACCCCAGTGCCTGCCTCGTCCCCTGGCCCTTCCTTTCCTGGTATTTAAAAAAAAAAAAAAAAAAAAAAAAACACAACTCAAACAGATTTGACATTAAAAACAAACGGGGGGGAAGGGAAAAAGAAAACATGGTTTATAATTAAAAACAGACTAATAAAGTTTGAAACTGAGTAAAATATAGGCAGTTTTTTTTTGTGTTTTGTGTGTTTTGTTTTGTTTTTTGTGGGTTTTTTTTTTTGAGTTTTTTTACACCAGTTTGGTGGAGTCACCAACAAACTTCAAACAAAGATATGCCAACTATGTTCACTACACAGTACAGCCACGGTCACACACTACCCACAGCGCGGTGGCAGCCGCCGCTCAATGAGGAGACGATCACACCATTTCGGAGATAAGCAGTGCCATTGTGTCTGGAGGAGAAGAGAGAATTAAAAATAAAATAGAATCCAACAAAAAATATATATATAGAAAAAAAAAAAAAAAAAACCCAGAAACACAGGTGGGAAGGAACTGACTTTGGTTGGTGGCCTCACTCACTGGGCGAGGCCGGCCCACACACGCGCGTGTGACAGTCACCTTGCTCCAAATTGCCATGGACACACACACACCTCCACGGCACTATTCCCTTTTGCACAAGCGAACACTTACAGAGAGCGGCTCTCAATTAAAGGCTTGTGGGGGAGGGGAGGGGTGGGGTCTGTTCAAGGCAAAGTCAGTGCCAGCAAGGGGGTGGGCCGGCGCCCTCGCCCGCCTCCAGCTCGCTCGGGCCTGCCCTGGCCTCCTGGGAGCGGGCGGTGGTGGCTGGGGTGTAGGGGAAGGACTCCTGGTGGGCAGGACGTCACGAACGTCACGTTCTCAGGGACAGAAAACCAGTCACGGTGGCGGCAGCAACAATGTCCTGTGTATACTGTGTAGACATTTGGCGGAGAGCAGGACCTCTGCCCCACACGCAGGGACGCGCGGCTTGGGTCTGGCCAGCACTTGCTCGTGGAGAGGCGTGCTCTGAGCCGACGTCCTGCGAGGGGGGTGGTGGGTGGCGGGACGTCCGGCTGGCTGTAAGGCAGACAGGCTCTGCGATCCTCAGCTGCCCGTCAGGCCTGCCCTGGGCACAGCATGCAGGAGGGCCAGGCCCGGAGCCACCCCCTTGCCGCTGCTACCGCCTCCACTGCCGCCCTAACACTATGGAGAGTCAACGTTTCGCCAGAAAATCAAAGTCAGAAGTCACCTAGGTGCTCTCAGAAAAGATTTTCTTCAAATATTGACAATAGATCACTCTGGAAATTCATGTCAATGGTAGCTGCCATCTGGAGGGGAGAGGAGGGAGGGAGGGAGGGAGTGAGACTAGGTGCCCTACCCTTACTGCAGCTTCCAAGCTCCCCCGCCCCCAGCACTGGCCAGGCCCTCGGGGCCCCCACACCCAGAAACCTCCCAACACCAAGCCTGAGCCACCTGTGAGAGCCCGAGGCCAGCACAGTGCAGGCCAGCAGGAGCCCCCAGCCCGGGAGCACCCCCCCTCACCCCCCCTCTCAGAGAGTGACTGCCTTCACCCCAAGGTTCCCGGTCCCCTTTCCAAGCCCCTCCAAGGCTGGACCCCCGCCCAGAGGTCCCCGACTCACCGCCTCCCGGCGCCTCCGCTCCTGCTCCCGCTTTCGGGCCAACTCCCTCTGCTGGTCCAGCATGGACTGGGGCTGGGAGCTCTGGGCCTGGGGGGCCGCGGCGGCGGCCACGGCAGCGGCCTGCTGCTGCTGCTGCTGCTGCTGCTGCTCCTGCCGCTGCTGTTGCTGCTGCTGCTCCTGGCGCCGCCGCGCCTCCTCGTGGGCCCGCCGGGCCTGCTCCAGCGCGTCCTCATCCTCTCGGCTCCTGGGCGCAGCAGAGCAGGGCAGAGCTGCCAGTCAGCACAGGGCGGGGGGATGGGGGGGGCGCGGTGGCGGCGACGGCAGCCCCCGGGGGCCCCAGGCTGCCCACAACCCCAGCCCACCTCATGCGCTCCTGCCGAAGCCGCTCCTTCTCCTTCTCTGCGTGCTCGGCCTGTGCCTTCAGGGCCTTCTCGCGCTCCTCCTTCTCCCTGGCGGCGCGGCGGAACTGCTCAAAGCTGTCACTCGAGGACTTGGCTGTGGAGGACGGGGTGGTGGGATGCTTCTGCACCAAGCTAGCCCAAGAGCCCATGTTCTTGATTTTCAAGTCCTGCCAGACAGAGAAACCACAGGGTGGGTGGGGGGTCGGGCTGCACCGAGAAGGCCACAGCCTGAGGGCACCCCCCCCCCGCCCCCAAGGTGCCTCCCTGGCATGGGGACGTTTGTGGACTCACTGTTCCTACCTTTTTGGGTGCAACTGGCGTCTTCGGCTCCTGTTTCTGTTTGTCCTTGTCGGAGGCCCCTGGTGGGGGCGCATTCTGCTCAGGGGGCCGGATCACAGGCCTCCCGACATCCACAGGCTTCATCTCAGGCCCTGGAACACAAACCACTTGTGGGCCTGGGCCGGGGCCCATTCCCCCCTGCCCCCAAGCCCAGTAGGGCGGAGTCAACCAGCCCACAGAAAGCTCCCGTCCAGTGCACTGAGGGCACTCACGTTGGGGCAGGTGAACGGGTGCCTTGATGCTCTCTGGGTGTTTAGGGGGCTCTGGCCGCAGTGAGGGGCTGAAAGGCTCGCTGCGAATGATGGGTGAGTGGATCTTCTCCTCCTTCACCACCACCAGGGGCTGGGGCTGGACCACAGAGGCCGCACGCAGCTCCTGGGATGGCACAGGCACAGTGGCCGGTGAGGCAGGTGGGTGCCTCTGGCACCGGCCCACACCTGGCCCTGGGGGCTGTGGCCCAGCCCTGCCCTTTACCTGCTTCTTAGGCTGAACGTTTTGCTGGGGTGGTGACTGGTGGGTTAGGCTCTGGAACGGTGGCATCTGGGGGGAATGTATCATAAGCGGGGAGGGGGCTTCGCGGAGGTGACCTAGGAGAGGGGACAAGGAGCATGTCAGCAGAACTCGTGTAGACATCACTGGCCTGGGCCCAGCCAGGTGACCCCCTAAGCTGGGGGGAGACCCACACTGGCTGAGCCCCAAGCACATCAGGCCCCTAGCTCAGTGTATAGCAGGGCTTCATGGAGCCATGAGCTCAGTCCTAGTGTCTGATGCCCCTGTGTGTCAGAATCATCGGGAACCTTTGAGAAGTGCAGATCCTGATGTAGTTGGTCACAGGTAAGGTCTGGGCCTGAGTACTTTTTAAAAGTTCTCCAGATGGTTCCACGGCATAGCCTAGGTTAAATATAAGGGACATCAACAGGATGCCTGGGTGGCTCAGTGGGTTAAGTGTCTGCCTTCGGCTCAGGTCATGAGCTCAGGGTCCTGAGACTTTTTTTTAAAAGATTTTATTTATTTATTTGACAGACAGGGAGCACAAAGCAGGGGGAGCGGCAGGCAGAGGGAGAAGCAGGCTCCCTGATGAGCAAGGAGCCCGATGTAGGACTTGATCCCAGGACCCAGATCATGACCTGACCCAAAGGCAGAAGCCCAACCCACTGAGCCACCCAGGCGTCCCATAAAAAAATAAAATCTTTAAAAAAAAAAAAAGGGACATCAATAACCTTACAACCTTACAGAACAGACAGCCTGAGCTCCCAGCTGTCCCTATATATGGCTTAACCTGCCTGCTTGGACAAATGCTTTGGGACTAGGACCGGATCCCCAGGAGACCCTCCCCACACAACTCAGCCTGCCAGCCCCACACAAGGGGGATGCTGGAACTAGCCTGCACCACGGCAGAGCTGGGAGAACATGTTCTTGGCTTATGGTTCTTACAGGAATTGGGCCAGCCCACCCACCTTCCTCAAACCAAAGGTGGGTGGGTGGGAGAGTGGAGATTCAGGCAGCCTCAAGGTCCAAGTACCTGGCACAAGGCAGGAGCCTGGAAAGCGCCATCAAAGCACTTAAGTCTGACACCTCAGCCTCACTGGTGAGAAAATAGCTTGAGGTCACAGTCACCAAATTCTGCCTTTGACTCCTCTACCTACTCTAGCATGGAAACGCCCTCCTGCTTGAATCCCTGACATGTCTTGGCCAGCTCCAGCATGGGACAAGCCACACTTGTCCACAAAACAAAGCCACCTCTCTGCAGTATACTTGCTCCTGGTCCTGCCTTGTGCCTCACAATGAAAAACCTAAGCCAAGCTCTGCATACAGGCCCTTCCGCTCACCTCCTCCAGGCCGGATTCCAGCTGCCATCCACAAGCAGAGATACCAACACCCCTGGCCCTCCATCAGCCCCTGGGCCCAGCAGAGACCACAATGCCTCAGCTATGGTTGGACCCTCCCTGCCCCTCTCTCTAAAGCCAGAACTTGCTCCTAACCCCAGAGAGGCAGAACAGCTGCTCAGAGACAACATGGTGGTGAAGACCAGCCCACTCCTGCACCTTGGTCCCCAGCCCCATGTGGCTGGTTTCGCCAGCCTTGGTGTTGGGGGCCCCAGTCCAGGCCTAGGGATCTGCAGGCACACGACTGTGACAGTCTCTCACTGGGATGGCTCCCTCAGCAGCACCTGCTGAGGCTTGACCTGGGTGGTGGCAGGCAGATGCTTGGATCTATGATTTGTAGGTATCACCTGCCTGCCAGTGGCTTCATCCACCAGCAGCGAGAGGGGAGGCCCATGG